TTATCAAGTAAAGTACGATTCATACATTCAGCCACCCCATTTTATTGAGGTTATGTAAGGAACAGTTCTATGTCTAGTAATTCCACATTTTCACACATATCATCAAAATCTTTATTATAGAATTCTAAGCAATTATCAGTTCTTAGATATTTTATCTTTTTGCTAGCTTAAGTTTCAACTCGCAATTTCCATATTTAAAAAAAATTAAAGGTTTCGATTTTATCCTTTAACAGATAAACCCACACACTACGTGAATAATTATCAATTATGGACATGAAATATCTATTACCATCCATTGTAGGGTTAGTAGCAGGCCCCCATAAATCAGTATGAATATATTCCAAAACTTGAGTAGTTTTGTGCACGCCAAATGAGAAAGATAACTTATGATGTTTATCAAGCACACAGTGATCACAAAAAGGCTTATTAGACACATAGTCTTTTCCAAATACACCTTTATCATTTAGTAGTTTAAGTCCTTTATTACTTATGTCAGCTAATTTATTGTGCCACTTGTGTGTGTCATCCGTGTTGGTCAAATTTATAGAGGAATATGCACTTTTAATAATCTCAGCATTAGTCACATAAATACCATTTCTTTTAGTACCTTTAAATGTGACAAGAGTACATTTAATCATTTTTAGCACGTTGTTTCCAATTTTACTAGTAAAACCATCGGTTTCTAATTCTCCTACCGAAATAAGATTCCTAGCCATTTCAGGAATATATCTGACTCCATGTAATTTAGGCACATAACCAGTGTCAAATTTTAAAATGATATCACCAATTCCAACAATTTTATATACATCATTATTGCATAAAATAACATGACCACTTTCAGACTCTTGCAAATTTTCAAACCAAGTTTTATGTGATGAAACATGGAATGATACACCAGAATCAAGTATCCATTCATGCAAGAGTGATTTCATTGTCAGATTTACTTCAGTAGGTTTAGAGTTCAATAACACATAAACTTCACCACATTCATCAGAAGAAGTAATAACATTTGCCTCATCATAAATCTTTTCTTTTTGTTTGTTTTTCTCAACATAACAGTTTTTAATGAAATGTCAAGTTTTACCGCA